CAGATGGTCTTACAAATGGAACCCCAAATGAGCTCAACTAACAACTTCTACTGAGGACTCCTGGACCAACCCACTGGCCCTTTCACTGGCCTAAAGAGTTCCACTCTGGAGGACACTACAACTGCAGGGCCCCTTCTTAGCCCCTATCCAGCAGGAAGTAGCTAGAGCAGTCATCACCCAATTCCCAGCAGCAGTTGGGGTATCATCTTTAGTGGGGGATTGAGAGGTGAAGCCAGCTGGGCTTCTGGGTCAGTTGGGGACTTGGAGAACTTTTCTATCTAGCTAAAGGATTGTGAACACACCAATCAGCACTCTGTGTCTAGCTAAAGCTTTGTAAACGCACCAATCAGCGCTCTGTAAAAAAGCAACAATCAGCGCCCTGTGTCTAGCTAAAGGTTTGTAAATGCACCAATCAGCACTCTGTAAAAACACACCAATCAGCACTCTATAAAATGGACCAATCAGCAGGATGTGAGTGGGGCCAAATAAGGGAATAAAAGCTGGCCACCCGAGCCAGCAGCACCAACCCGCTGGGGTCCCCTTCCTTGCTGTGGAAGTGTTGTTGTTTTGCTCTTTGCAATAAATCTTTCTGCTGCTCACTCTTTGGGTCCGCACTACCTTTATGAGCTGTAACACTCACCACGAAGGTCTGCAGCTTCACTCCTGAAGCCAGCAAGACCATGAACCCACCAGGAGGAACAAAAAACTCCAGATGCACCACCTTTAAGAGCCGTAATACTCACTGTGAAAGTCTGCGGCTTCACTCCTGAAGTCAGCGAGACCACAAACCCACCATAAGGAAGGAACTCTGGACACATCTGAACATCTGAAGGAGCAAACTCTGGACACACCATCTTTAAGAACTGTAACACTCACTGCGAGGGTTCTCTGCTTCCTTCTTGAAATCAGCAAGACCAAGAACCCACCAGAAGGAACCCATTCTGGATACAGTAGCACCTCTTTAAAAGATTGTTTAGTGAGTAAATGAAATAATCCATGTAAAGCATCTATGGCAGATAGGAGAATCTTCAACAAATATTAGCTGCAATTATTATCCATAAATGGAAGCTCTCAATCTAGGGAGGAAAAAGGCACACAGGTAGGCGTGCCTGCCTACCTGGGTTGTACTGTGTCAGGGACAGGGCATTCTGATCAAAGAACTTAGAAGAAGAAAACTTTGTAGAGAGAAGACATTTAGAAACTCAAAAGTGATCACTTTGGCAAACAGACCAAAAAACTCACTTGGGCACTCCATTGTTCTTTGTTCAATGCCATGAATATAAGTGAATATGAGTTTGATTTTTTAAAAAAATAAATCTCAAGTCTTCTACCAAGACTTGAGGACTACAATGCATTTGACTATTCAATTGGATGTAGTCTGTCAACATATATACATAAACTATATTTTTCTAGAATTGTCAAGATAATAACATTATTGTCTGTTTCTAGTTACACCAATTATGCAGGTGTAGAGAGTCCTACTAGGGCTGCACTACTCCACCTAGCAGAGAGGTGAGAAAGGTTTTTCATTGCCTCATTGTGGTCTTATGGTGATTGAGTAGGCATCACTTGTAGAAAATGGCCATTACTCTGCTCACCCACTTTGTGGAGAGCAGTGTAAAGGAAGGGAGTGTAGCTACTTAGTCTGGATAGCATCAAGGAGTTCACTTGTTGCAACCAATTTAAAAGACTCATTGGATTGGCATGTTTACAGAGTGATATACAGACATGGTAGGGAATCAGAAATAATTTGAATTCCTAATATATTGGTGGTTTATTTATGAGGCATAAATTTGCAGGAAGTTAATGGCCATAATTTATTGAGCACCTACTATGTTTTCAGAACTCACAGTTTTCCATCCACTATTACATAGAATCCTCAGTGCAATCTTACAAGGAAAGTGTTATTATTATTTAGTCTCATTTTATAGATGAGGTAAAAGAAGCTCAGAAGTTATAGATCTCTGAATGTGCTTTTTAAGTCAGAGATGTTGGCTTCAAAAACAGAACTGCAGTCAGGCTGGTGTTAATGAGTTTTATAGTATAATGTAACAGACAGTCACAGAAACATCAAAGGACAGGAAGTGAGTGGTACATCTTGAGCAACTGGACATCAGGGGCTGTCTCTCCTCATTGCTTCTCTCTTTTTCTCTTTTTCTTTCTGAATACACTCTGGCCCTGATTCTTCTATGTTTTAACTAGAGTCTCTCAATCACACAGTTGAGTCAGGGGTCCAACCTGGGTCTGATGTCTGGCTGTGAAGCAATCAGTGAAAACCAGAGGGTTGAGGTTATGCAGGTGTAGAAAGCCACATCATCTTCAAAGGTGTCACAAAGCTAGTAAATGGCAGAGGCAGAATCCCAAGTCACATCTGTCTGATGCCCATATTCTTTCCACTAAAAAAAAGGCGTGGGGCAGAACAGAGTTAGAGTAAGACAGTCAGCTATCCCCCCCGAATAATAGCTCCACATTGCACAAGGCTTGAGGAAAAACACTGTAACTGGCAAGGAGCTCAGAAGTTATACTGTTCAAATTCCACATTTTATTGGCCAAATGACTTGGCAAAACAATGTGGTTAATATTTATTTAAACATATTTGGATAGGGAAAATATAGGACTGTTCTCACAGATGCATAGTCTAACATATTTCAGATATTGTGGGGTTGAAGCAGACTAAGGAGCAAAATGTCTAAGCTTCTAAGGCTGTATGTTTAATCTACCCAAATTCAACACCACAAATCAAGTATTCACTTCATTTCACTTTGAGATTGAAACCAAAGTTGGTGAGAGAGTTAAAGTTATCTCCTCTACCCTCGGATTAGAAAATATTTTTCCAACTTGGTCCTAATTTTCTCATAAAACACATATATATAGAATGTTGGAAATGCTTGTTCATATCTCTCCCTATGAAAGATTTTGGGAAATAATCTCAGAGAAGCCAAAAGACAAAGTTGTACACATATTCCTGGCAGCTTCCTCTGAGTACCAAACTCAAAAAATCTTAATGTTCAGCAAACGGTTTAGTGAAATATTGTAGATTGGTATAAGAAAGTGCTACGTCAATAATCATTTTAATGTGATGGAGAAACAAAAATATCATATAATAATTTAAAATAATAAAAAATGGCATGAATTCCACAATTTCAACAATAAAAGAATATATACAAATGAAGGGCACCATCTGATTTGGTTTGACTCTGTGACTCCACCCAAATCTCACCTTGAATTGTAATCCCGATGATCCCCATGAGTCAAGGGTGGGACCAGGTGGAGGTAATTGGATCATGGGGGTGGTTTCCCCCCATGCTGTTCTCATGATGAATGAGTCTTATGAGATCTGATGGTTTTATAAGCATCTGGCATTTCCACTGCTGCACTCACTCTGTCCTGCCACCCTTTTAGAAGGTGTCTGCTTCTCCTTTGCTTTCCCCCATGACTGTAAGTTTCTGAGGCCTCACCAGCAATGCAGAACTGCGAGTCAATTAAACCTCTTTCCTTTATAAATTACACAGTCTCAGGTATTTCTTCATAGTGTCAGAAGAGATGAATACACCGTCTATAAATTGAAAATAGTTTTTTAAGGATGAAGAATCTACAGTGATTTCACATAGAATCATATTATTTTCATTGATAATCACATTATATTACTAACAATGGCCAAAATGTATTGAGTGATTATTAAGTGCTTTACTTATATCTTTTAACTTAATTCTCTTTAGGAAAATAGTATCATAAGTCACACTTTGTAAAGAAACTGAGGATAAAAGAGGTTAAGCAAATTCCTGAGAGACAATTCTAAGAGGTTTTCCCCAGAGTTCAAGTTCCTAACTAAGGAATAATAATGATGATAATAGCAATAGCTAACGATTAAGTGGCATTTAATATATGCCAGGCAGTGTTCTAAGTGCTTTATGTTTACTAACTCATTTAATCCTCAGATCAATCCTATGATGTAGGTAGTAATATGATTCCTTTTCGTGGGTAAGAAAACCATAGCCCAGAACCAGGGACCCCAGCCGGGGTGTGGCTGAATCAGAGTAAGAACTCAGACTGTCTGCCTCCAAAGTCTGTACTTTCATCTGCTCACTGCTCTAGTTCCAGGACTTAGCAGAAATAGCAAGGGAGGAATGAAGAAATACATTTTAAAGAAAAAAATCAAAGAACTTGTGATAACTCCAAAACAACTCCAAAAATTCCTGCCTGAAGGAGTAGGATGAAAGTAGCTTTATTGACTAACAAAGAAAGTTAATTTGAACATGTTAAATTTTAGGTAACTTTGAAATATGCTGAGTGAAAATTCCAGCTGGGTACTGGGTAGCAAGGGGATGTTGTATGCAATATAAAATGACCCAATACATGGATTTGAGACCAATAATGTGAGAGGTGATAATTTCTAACTCTCAATATGAATTAATGTTTTGAGAGAGATTTAGACGGAAGAACGGTCTTTGAGAAAGTTGATAGAAAAAAGTGAAGAGATGGACAACAATCTGAAAATTACATACGGCAGAGTCATGAAAAGAAGATAACTCTGCCGCAGGAAGTCAAGAGGAAGGAAGCTAAAGGAAGCCTTGGAATTGGTTCTCAGAGGTCCTTCATGACTGTGGAGGGAGGGTGGGCCTGCAGCCAAAGGCTGAGGAATCAGAAAGGGTCAGAAAGGGGAGCACGTTATTCTTTAGGAAGTTTGTCATCCAAGGGAAGGAAACAGTAGAGCAACTGGAGGGAAAATTAGATTAAGTGGGAGTTTCTTTCACAGCAGTTAGTTGTCTGTGCAAGAACCATGGCAGTCTGGAAAGATTATTTACCCTATTGTCTCCCACAGTTTATTTATTTACCTATTGTTTCACAAGATCATGGCAGTCTGGAAAGATCTGGGGGCCCTGGTTCTGAGCTATGGTTTCCTTACCTGTGAAAAGGAATCAGAGTAGTACCTACATCATAGGATTGATCTGAGGATTAAATGAGTTAGTAAATATAAAGCACTTGGAACAGTGCCTGGCATATATTAGGTGCCACTTAATTGTTAGCTATTTTTATTACCATCATTATTATTCCTTAGTTAGGAACTTGAACTCTGGGGAAAACCTCAGAATTGTTTCTCAGTCAGGAAAGATCAGGGGTGTCTGAGGATGCTGGAGAAAGAAGAACCTCTTGAAACAGTGCTGGGAAGGACCAGAAGGAGGAGTTTCATTTTCTAAAAGGGAGATGTCGTATATGTGGCCATTGGAGGTAAGCAAGGATGAGTGTAGGTTGGAATTGAAGTAAACAAAAATGCAATGTTGTTTATTTACCTATTGTCTCACACAGTTTACCCTTTTATAATTTGTTCTATGCTGCCAGTGCTGTGACTCTCCAAATTTGATTTCCCATCTCCCTTGACATCTGGCTTTTCTAATGGTTCTGCCAATGAGAGGTCCTGGAGAGATTTGACAACAGTGGAGGGAAGAAGGGACCTTCTTTCCAATTCCCACTAGTGTCACTCCATGTCACACGGTTGGATCAGCTGTTTTAGGCCCTCTTGGCACCAGCATTGCCTTACTCTCACAGGGACCAGCCACAGCTGGGCCACACTCTCTTGGAAGTGTAAGTATGAGCTTTGCCTTCTGAGCAGCCACTGGGCTATACCCTTTCCTCTGAGGTTTTAGTTCTGGTAACTGTACCACCTCTTTTTAGTCCTCCCTCAGGAGCTTAATGTTCTTAATGTTTTGGGTGACCTCAATTTGCCCTTTGTAATTTTTTCACCTTCCAACACATCAATAACCAACTTTCTGTATTAAATCGCCTTTGTTTGAAAGAATTTTCTCTTTCCTAACTGGACACGTTGATATAGTTCTTGGCCCAGCAGTGGTTCCAGAAGCAGACCCTCAAGTAAACATGTGTTTACACAGATTTAGTTTCTATCTTTTTTCTTATTCTTTCTTTTTCTGTGTTTTTTTTTTTTTCCATATCTGAGTTGATGTCTTTGTAATGATTATAATTTGCGAATATAGAAAGCACTGGAGTGAGTTAGTTTAAGGGATGTGAAAAGAAAGGAAAAGATCCAGAATAGTCAACCAAGGGGAAGCCAGTGGAGCTAACTAATGGGCCCCAGTTGCTCTCTTCTGTTATAGACTTGACATAGCTCTGCTCTGCAATTTTCTACACACCCTGCATTGGCTTTCAAGTAGAAGTTTTCCAGAGCACTCCCAAGGTGTTTGAAACGTAGTACCTTTAGAATTCTTATATAGTCACTGAAAATGTTATCCCCAGCCATATATACTTATTTGTACAATGCTATGAAATTTGTTCTATGATTTCTATTCATTTTGTATTTTGTGAATTTTGGAATGTAAGCAACTCTTTTTTTTTGCACTAATATAGTCTTAATTTTAATTTTTGTGGCTACCCAGTAGGTGTATATACTTATGGGGTACATGAGATATTTTGGTATAGGTATGCAATGCATAAAAATCACATTGTGGAAAAGTGGGTATCCATCTCCGTAACTATTTATCCTCTGTGTACAATCTAATTATACTCTTTTAGTTATTTTAAAGTGCATAATTATTATTGATTATAGTCCCCCTGCTGTGCTGTCAAATACCAGGTCTTATTTATTCTAACTTTTTTTTTTTACTCATTAACCATCCGCACCTTCCTCCATCCCTCTCACTACCCTTGCTGGCTTCTGGTAACCATCCCTCTATTCTCTCTCTCCACAAGTTCAATTGTTTTGATTTTCAGATCCCACAAATAAGTGAGAACATGTGATGTTTGTCTTTCTCTGCCTGGCTTATTTCATTTAACATAATGACCTCCAGTTCCATCCATGTTGCTGCAAGTGACAGGATCTCATTCTTTTTCATGGAAGAATAGTACTCCATTGTGTATAAGTAGCACATTTTCTTTATCCATTCATCTGTTGATAGATACTTGGGTTCCTTCCAAATTTTCGCTGTTGTGAACAGTGCTGCAATAAACATGGGAATGCAGATATCTCTTTAGTACCCTGATTTTCTTCTTTGGGGCATATACCCAGAAGTGATATTGCAGGATAACACGATACCTCCATTTTTAGCTTTTTGAGGAACCTCCAAAATGTTCTCCATAGTGGTTGTACTGGTTTCCATTCCTACCAACAGTGTATGAGGTTTCCCTTTTCTCTACATCCTCACCAGCATTTGTTATTGCCTGACTTTTGGATAAAAGACATTTTAGGCTGGGTGCAGTGCTCACACCTGTAATCCCAGCACTTTGGGAAGCCAAGGCAGGCAGACCATGAGGTCAGGAGATTGAGACCATCCTGGCCAACATGGTGAAACCCCATCTCTACTAACATACAAAAAATTAGCTGGGCATGGTGGTGCATGCCTGTAGTCCCACCTACTTGAGAGGCTGAGGTTGGGGAATCACTTGAACCCAAGAGGTGGAGGTTTCAGTGAGCTGAGACCGTGCCACTGCATTCTGGCCTGGCAACAGAGCAAGACTCCATCTCAGGAAAAAACAAGCCAATTTAATGGGGCTAGGATGATATCTCATTGTAGTTTTGATTTGGATTTCTCTGATGATCAATGATCATCATCATATGCATGCTTGCCATTTGTTTGTCTTTTTATGAGAAATGTCTATTCAAATATTTTGCCCATTTTAAAGTTGAATTATTAGATTTTTTTCCCTATAGAGTTGTTTGAGCTCCTTATATATTCTGGTTATTAATTCTTTATCAAATGGGTTTTTTTCAAATATTTTCTTCCATTCTGTGAGTTGTCTCTTCACTTTGTTCATTGTTTCCTTTGCTATGTTGAAGTTTTTTTTAACATGATGTGATCCCATTTGTCCATTTTTGACTTGTTTGCCTGTGCTTGTGAGGTATTATTCAAGAAATTTTTGCCCAGACCAACGTCTTGGAGGGCTTCCCCAATGTTTTCTTGTAGTAGTTTCATAATTTGAAGCTTAGAGTTTAAGCCTTTAATTCATTTTGATTTGATTTTTGTATACAGTGAGAGATAGGGGTCAAGTTTCATTCTTCTGCTTATGAATATTCAATTCTCCCAGCACCATTTATTGAAAAGACTTTTTTTTCTTCAGTGTATGTTCTTGGTGGCTTTGTTGAAAATGAGTTTACTGTAGGTATGAAGATTTGTTTCTGGGTTCTCTATGCTGTTTTATTGTTCTATGTGTCTGTTTTTATGGTAGTATCATGCTGTTTTGGTTACTATAGCTTTGTAGTATATTTTGAAATCAGATCATGTGATTCTTACAGCTTTATTCTTTTTTCTCAGGACAGTTTTGGCCATTCTGAATCTTTTGTGATTCTATTTAATTTTAGGATTGTTTTTTCTATTTCTGTGAAGGATATCATTTGTATATTGATAGGGATTGCATTGATTCTGTAGATTGCTTTGTGTAGCATGGACATTTTAATAATGTTGATTCTTCCAATCCGTGAACATGGAATATCTTTCCATTTCTTTGTGTCCTCTTCCATTTTTTTACATTGACATTTTATAGTTTTCATTGTGAAGATTTTTGACTTCTCTGATGAATACCTAAGTATTTAATTTTATTTGTTGTGGCTGTAAATGGAATTACTTTTTTGATTTCCTTTTCAGATTGTTCACTGTTGATATATAGAAATGTTACTGATTTTTGTACATTGATTCTGTATCCTAAAACTACCGAATTTGTTTATCAGTTTGAGTAGTTTTTTGGTGGAGTCTTTCGGTTTTCTCAAATATAAGATTATATCATCTGCCAACAGGATAATTGACTTCTTTTTTAGTTTGGATTCCCATTATTTCTTTCTCTTTCTTTCTCTTGCCCGATTGCTCTAGCTAAGAATTCCAGTATTATGTTGGATAACAGTGGTGAAAGTGAGCATCCTTGTCGTGTTTCAGATTTAAGAGGAAAAGTTTTCAGTTTTTCCCCATAAGGTATAAAACCAGCTGTGGGTCTGTCATATGTGGTTTTTATTATGTTGAGATACACTCTTTTTATACCCTGTTTTCTGAGTTTTTTTTTTTAATCATGAAAGATGTTGATCTTTATCAAAAGGGTTTTCAGCATCCATTTAAATGATCATATGTTTTTTTTCCTTCATTCTGTTGATATGATGTATCACATCGACTGATTTGCATATGCTGAACCATTCTTGCATTCCTGGAATAAATCCCACTTGGTCATGATGAATGATCTTTGTAATATATTTTTGAATTTCGCTTGCTAGTATTTTCTTGACGATTTTTGCATCAATATTCATCAGAGATGTTAGCTTATAATTTTTAATTATTTATTTTAATATGCCTTTGTCTGGTTTTGGTATTAGAGTAATACTAGCCTCATAGAATCAGTTTGGAAGTATTTCCTCCTCCTCTGTTTTTTGGAACAATTTGAGTAGGATTAGTATTAGTTCTTTAAATGTTTGGTAGAGTTTAGCAGTGAAGCCATTGGGTCCCAGACTCTTCTTTGCTGGGAGATCTTTTATTATGGTTTCAATCTCATTACTTTTTATTGACCTGTTCAGGTTTTGGATTTCTTCATGGTTCAATTTTGGCATGTTGTCTGTTGCTAAGAATTTATCCATTCCTTCTATATTTTCCAGTTTATCAACATATGGTACCTAATAATGATCCTTTGAATTTCTGTTGTATCAGTTGTAATGTGTTGGGAACAGGCCGCCAAATCTGGCCATAAACTGGTCCCTAAACTGGCCATGAACAAAATCTCTGCAGCACTGTGACATGTTCATGATGGCCATGATGCCCATGCTGAAGGTTGTGGGTTTACCAAAATAAGAGCAAGGAACACCTGGCCCACGCAGGGCAGAAAACTGCTTAAAGGTGTTCCTAAACCACAAACAACAGCATGAGCGATCTGTGACTTAAGGATATGCTCCTGCTGCAGATAACTAGCCAGAGCCCTCCCTTTGTTTCCCATAAGGAATACTTTTAGTTAATCTATAATCTATAGAAATAATGCTTATCACTGGCTTTAAATGTGGATCAAACTCTGTTTGGGGCTTTCAGGTCTGAAGGCTGTGAGTCCCCTGATTTCCCACTCCACATGCTATATTTGTGTGTGTGTCTTTAATTCCTCTAGCACTGCTGTGTTAAGGTCTCCACAACCAAGCTGGTCTCGGCAGTAATGTCTTTTTTTCCATCTCTGATTTTATTTATGTGGGTATTCTTTCGCTTTTTCTTAGTCTGGCTAAAGATTTGTCAATTTCGTTTACCTTTTCAAAAAATCAACTT